CTTTTTTTTTTTTTTTTTGAAGGGGTCCATGGGGGAAGAATAGACTACTTCCCCGCTCTGCATGAAACTGCAATCGCCATTTTCTGATTTGAAGTATCTGATAGGGACGGTCGTGAAATGGCATCCAAGCCAGTGGGAGTGGCCATCGTGTGTCTGAAATAAACACTTTTTATATTTGATGTTGCCATCCACAGATTGCTGCGTTGCACATGTGACTGGAATGTATCATTTTGGTTTGTGATTAGTTAGTTTTTTTTTTTTTTGGATCGTATTTTGATATTTATTGTCTTTTTTTCTTTTTCGCCGCGCCAGTCACAGCTACTTATCCAAGCAACAAAACACATGGAAAATAGAATTTTCCGACCATTAAAATGCAACACAACGAAAGGATGGGAACATGTTTAGAATGTTGTCTATGGGACGGGTCCAGACATACTTCTTGTTGACGTTGATAAGGTGGGAGAAATCAGGGCGTCCTCGCCTATAGTGTCATTGTCATTTTGGTGAAACCTTCCTGTTTTTATCAACCGTGTCAATAAAGTCGAGGCCTCATCTGTCTCTATTTACATGTTATTAGAACCAACTAGGAAAAAGCATTACAAATGCTGTATAGAAAAGATAATGCTAAATCTATCTGTCTTTTTTTTTTTCCTTTTTTAAATGTAAATCCCTACACGTGGCTCTGCCAGTGACTGGAACAAGACACATCACGGTATATAACGTGAAACTTTTTTTTTCTCGTGTGGCAGCAATACCTTTTCCATAAATAATCATTATTTATTGTACATAATCATTATTTATTGTACCTGAAAAGCAATTGTTATACGTGTTGAATTTAACTCTTAAAAGTCTCATTAGCTCTCATTGATCAAGTGTCCCTAATGTGCTGTCTGGGGAAAAAGCCTGCGTTTCCACATACTTTACAATGGGGGGCGCTGTTGGCTCATTTGTTAGTGCGGTTGCCAAGTTACCTAGTTAGAGAGGCGCTTACTCGCCTGCATTTGTTTTTTTCCGCTTTTTAAGTGAAATTCTCCGAGGGGAAATGTCCGAAACGGAGTCCGAGTGCAAAAGTCCGAAGGCTAAGGGTGTTTTCTCTACCTTAATGGCGGATGGAGACTGGTTGCTGCTCAAGGGGGAGTATGAGAAAGCAGTGGAGAGATTCAGTACGGTGAGTGCTCACGAGCCGGAATTTTTTTCACCGTCCAAATATCCGCATCAATAAAAGCCGGTCATATTTAAAATAAAACACTTTACACAACTGTTTTCACCGTGAAAATTCATTTTCAGTCGTTTTTCTGACCATTTTCATTTTGTAGAGTTTGAAAATAAGTCATTCAAATGTTTTTCTTAATACAGCTCAGGAAAAAAATTATGAATGCTAACAAACCTTGAAACACCCTATTAAACCGCAAATGTGACGAGAATGTTCTGCCAGCCTGGGGGTGTGGGGTATTTTCTGGGGTACGTACTACACTGTCACGTACGGTCACGTACTGTACTGAAAGTGGATATTCTCAATCGTATAACAGGCTCTGACACTAAAACCCGAGGACAAATACTGCTTCGTGGGCCGCTCCAAGTGCTACCTAATGATGGGTCAGTATGAAAAAGCCCTGGGGGACGCCGAAGCTTCACTTCAAGAAGACCATTCCTTTTTTGAGGTATGGTTTTTTTTTCAATGTCATAGTAAACTCTTATTTGGAATCAATAATAAATATTTCGTGTTTTTTTTTTTTTTACATTAGGGGTTGTACCAGAAGGCCGAGGCTTTGTACTGCTTGGGGGAATTTGAATTTGCGCTAGTGTTTTACCACCAAGGGCTGAAGCTGCGCCCACAAGTCCATGAGTTCAAGGTGGGCATCCAGAAAGCTCAGGAGGCCATTGAGAACGCCGTCACCGGTATGTGACCGACACCAATGATGGAAGCATACAATTATCCAAAATGTCCTGATAATATCATCAGTGAACAGCTAAGGGCTCCTGCCCAACTCCGGACTGATTGATTATATTTTGTCTATATCATCATACATGTCATCACTCAGTCCCTGCCGCCATCAAACAGAAGCTTAAAGCAGAACTCCAGCAAAAAGATGCAGAGGTAGTCACACATCAATTTGTCATCCCTCTACATATTACGATGATCAACACAACCAATCTCACACAACAGATGGCAAAAGCCAAGAAACCACACGCCTCCAAGTCAGAAAAGAAGAGCAAGAAATACCTGGGGGAGTTTTACGAGGACAGGAGATATCTGGAGAACCTGTTAAAGGATGAAGGTATGTTTGTTGTTAATGTTTCTTTTTTTGTACATTTTTTTAAAGCTCTTAGAAACATTTATGTTGTTTTATATTATCATTGTTATTAATCAGAATTGTAACAATTGAATTGTGTGTTTAATGTTTAGATGTCGATCCATCCATCTGATCTAGATCTGGCTTCTTAGCTAGCTAGCGTGCTAGCCTTTCTTTGGCAACCATGCAGTCAGACAGGGCAGTGCTTCACCTGTTTCTAATGCATATGTCCGCGTTTACGGCAAACTGTCATGATCTAATCATGTTTGGGTGTATTCTAATCTGCAGACTTGGGGAAAGGGAAGACGAGGAACGGTGAGCAACTGCATGATGTCATCCAGGGTTGCCTCACATACTTGGACGGCTGCGCTGACTTCTGGAACCAGCAGAAGCCCCCGCGCCATCCACCCAAAGACCCTCAAAGACAACGAAGCAAGTGGGGCAAAATGCCCATCCATCCCTCCTCAAAACCTGCAAACTTTACAGTAAAGAGCATGTAGGACAATAACGCTTATGATTTGATTCGATTTTTATTCATCTCAAACAAGCACAATATTAAAAATAGTGTAAATTCAAGATCCATAAAAAACATAAATAAAATGAAGCCATGAAGATTAAAAGAAGGTTCCAACTCTTATTGTAAAAAAAACAAAAAAAAAAACCTTAAAAGCAATACTTAGAAAAAAATGTGCAATTCTGAAAGTAACTGTCTGGATCTTAATAGCTGAACAATTGTAATATTTTTACGGCAAATAGTTTGGTGTTTTGTGGCAAAATCTAAATGTTTCATGGCAAACTATATTGTATTTTTTTTCATGGTTTATGTTGTGTCATGTGGCCATTTTTTCATCTAAAATTACAGTAGAAATGCTTCTGTTCTATTTCTATGGGTGCTTAATAATATGCCCTCGTTTGTGGTGAAAGGATGATGTTCTTCAGTCGCGATTCGCTCGAGGGGTAACAATGCACATTGGAACACAAAGACTTTCAGCCCACATCCTTTCATTCCACACAGACTGCTTCACTTGAACACACTCAAAGCTTAAACATACCTATTTGTAAAATATCCACTATTTACAGAAAGTGTGCTGCAAAGCATGCTAGAAAGTACGTGGCTTCACCATCGCTACAGTATTATTAATAATGTATCATTGCCATTGCTATAATTATTAACATGTTATTCATTTTAATATTTCTATTAAATTACGTCAATTAAAACAAAAAAAAAATCTGAAAAAAAGCTTCAATCCTCGACAGTTTCATTTTACCCCCATTTCCGGTCTGTGAAGGGCGTGCCCTCGGTCTCCGCCCAGCGTGAGCTTACCCGCCGCCGTGCGTGCGCGCACTGTGCCTTGAAGAAGAGAAGCTGAGCGCGTGCGTGGGTGTGTCAGGTTAGCTTGTCATTGTATGCCGAGTAGCGCGTGGTAATCACCCGGACCGAATGGTGGTAAGTTGGCACGCTGTACACCGACAACAACAAAAAAAACTCATGCTCATGGCGTCCATTTTTCATGCTGTTTTTGTATTTTGACGGTGAGGAGGAAAACTTTGTCACCTGAAAACGATAATTATAGTTAGGATTGCCCTGATCCGCGTGGTTTGACTGGCATGTTAATTGTTTGTGTGCCACGGTTGTCTCCACCCTGTCGCTTTTTAAAAGTGTAATTATGCACGGTTTAAACATGTTTGTCTCCTTTTAAAGACACAAACTCTCAAATCAATGTGCTTTCTATCAGCTTGATAACAACGCGAGCTGAGTTTATCCACTGCGTCACCCACACAACAGCTGTTGGCATCGATATGTTGACTAAAAAGGAAAATGCTCGCTTAACCTTCGCTTTTGGTTAGAAACGTGAGTGTTTGTTGACCTAATCATTCACGGTTTTCGCTTTTGTTTCGTTAGAAAGCGTAGCATTCAGGAAGGGTTTTCGTCTCGTGACATGACACGTTCGCACATCTGGTAAACCGAGCAGAAATTTTGTTGAAGAATCAAAATGGTTGCCACTCTTTCGCTAGATGGCGCTCCTCAGTCTGACGCCAGGTGCCCGCCATCATCATTAAAAAAAAAAAAGGAACTGCCTTTTGTCTGCTCAGTCGTTACCAAGTGATTTTCCTTTGCTTAATAACGCCTGGTAATTCGCTGGGCAACTTGTTTGTTTTCGGGACCATGTTGAGTCCGCCCTCCGCCTGGTCTCATGATGTAAAATGTATTGCAACCATTAGAAATAGTTGCGCAATTCATAAGAAATGGGCGTGGTTACGTCAAAATGTTTGTAGTTTTGAGTCTCATTGCCAGAGTTCTTAATATAATATAACGCGTGAGGGCAATTGCGCCCCCCTCCCCACTTTTTTTTTAAAATCTTTTGTTCCGCGACCGTTTTTCCCAGACCATGAGTACCCCTCCCTCATATGTCTTGATGATTCTCCAAAAGAGGGTACAAACAACGGATTAAATCCATTTTTTTTCCTTAATTTGACCATTTAATTCTCAGGCATTGTTTTCTTTGTAACTCAAATTTAACATAAAAATAGTGTTGCCTTGAAAATAAATACTATAAAAAAAAAGAATGAAACTAGAGCAAACTGTTTTGGTAATATTTAACTCTTTAACAATAACAGTAACAATGCAGAGCAGGAATAATGATCAGACACATAGCAGTTTTACTTTCTCATCTGTCATCTGAGCTACAATGAGACACTTTAGTTGACGTGTTATTTTTGGAGCATAAATGTGTACAATTAAAATACTTTGTCTGCATGAGATAAAATCGAAAAGTGCCCCAGTTCTAATGTGAACAAAAAAGGCCAAATAATTACAGTAAGAATTCTTCAACTTAGCATTAAGGTAAAAAGATTATTTAAATATTGTACTTGTTTCCACAATGCTTTTTGACTGTTTTATGTACTAGATCTCATCAGAATTGTGCAGATCGCTGCAATTCTTGGTCTAAATGATAAAACCACAAAAAAAAAAAAAAAAAAGGCTGACGATGCATCACTGTTTCCTCTGCATGCTTTAAGATACTTGTTAATGTGAAGTGGTGACCCTCTCGAGCCCAAAATGGACCCTGAAAACAACCGTGAGGTTTCCGACATGCCGGCGAGTCCGCAACAGGAGGAAGTGGCGGTGACGCAGCCAGCAGCTGCTGAAGGAGATGGAGAGGAAAAGCAGCAGCCCGCGGGGAACGGCGCTGGTGACGCGGTCGGAAGCAACACCGCCCCTGTCCAAGATGACTCGCCTCTTGAAAGCCCTGAAGCTAAGCCACCGGTGCCTGTTGCTGTGCCAGAAGAGCCACATCCCATGTCTGATCCGGTTCCAGAAGCTGAAATAATGCTGCCGCCAACCCAGGAAGATGCCGCGCCGCAGCAACCAGAAGAATTGCCGCCTTGCAGCCCAGAGAAGGTTCAAGAGAAAGTTCTTGATGAAGTAGAGGCTGTAGTTGAGGCACAAGAAGTTGTCAAGGAGGCTCAGGCACAAAATGATGGCGAGAAAATCGAAGCGTCCACGGAGAAGCCAGCTGAAACCTCCATGCAGGAGAAGGCGTTGAAAAAGGCTGAAGCTGAAATGGCGCCCCCTGCAGAACCAAAGAAGGAAAGCGAGCCGGATACAAGTGCCAAGTCAGCAGTTCCACCAGGAGCCGAGGCAAGTGACCCAGCACCTGAAAAGGAGCCGACCCTTCCCTCTGCCGGCTCCTTGTCGTTCCCCATCCTTAAACACGAGAAGACCAAAGATGCTCTGTGCCGCTCTCGCACCCTGGTGGTCATCAAAGGCCTTCCGGGAAGCGGGAAGACCTTCTTATCTCGTGCGTTGGCCGACGCCTACAAGGACCATTGCTCGGTCTTCTGCGCCGACGACTACGCGGATAGCGCCGACCCCGCCATGGACGCGCACAAAGCCCTGGACGAGGCGGTGGTGGCCTGCTGCGCCGACGCCCCTACGGTGCTGGTGGTTGTGGACGACACTAACCACACCCATGAGCGGCTTGCCCGCCTGGGCGAGTTGGCCCGGGAGCAACGGATGGTCGTGGTCTTCCTCACGCCGCGCACGGAATGGAACGCGGACACGGCGCGCCTCGCCAAGCTGAGCGGACGCAAGCCGGCTGCCATCACTGCCATGAAGCGGCAACTGGATGAGGTGTGCCTGCCGCTCTTCTTCGGCTGGTTCTTGCTGACACCTGCGCAGGATCAGCTCAGATCCACAGGCAGCGACTTCCTGACGGCCCTGGATGGCTTCAAGAAGAATGCTGTTGGCTGTGAGTGAACCCGTTTGCTCAGTCTTGAATTTTTGCTTGCAGAGATGGCAGAAAGTGTATTTTTTTTAATATATATATATTTGACACAATGGAAAAAATAGCTAAATAAAATTAAATGCCAAATATCGAGTGGCCACTCCCCAAATATCTGATAGTACAAACCAGTTTTCAATTGATGCAATAAAGTGCAAAATGGAAGTAAATGAACACAATTTTAATCAAGTGCTTTAAGTATTAATAGACATTTTTATTTATTTATTTTTTTGGGGGGGGGGTCATTTTGCCATCTGAAGAAGTTGAAATGCTTAAGACTACTGTATCTTGTTTTGACCAGTTGGTACAAAGTGCAACTCAAGGCAAGTGCAGGGAGAAAGTCTTTAAAAAAATACACACACACACACACACACACACACTTTGGAATAGATTTGAGTTATCTGTACTTAGGTCGTCACCACTGACCTTGTCTCATCTTTGCAGCGTCGGTGAATGAAGGGCAGGAAATTCCTCTGGAGCAGTACTTCAAAGGCAAAAGAAGCCTCCACTGCACCACCAAATTCTGTGACTATGGAAAGGCAGAGGGAGCCAAAGAATATGCAGAGAAACCAGTAAGACACCCTTGTTCGCTCGCACGAGTTGAAGAAATTGCGGCAATTATGGCAAACAAAAAAAAATCAGTTTGGCACATACTTAGTTTTAAGGTTGTTGTTGGGCTCACATTAGTACATTAAAGAAAAACATGCTTGCCTTTTTTTTCAATAAATGTGATAAAAAATTAAACAGACTGCTATTATGACATAATTTGAGCAAGCCAGTTTTGAAAGAAAATGGATAGCTCCATTACTTTATTGCAAAAGGAGCTGGTCAGACACAAAGTTACAAAAAAGAAAAAATTCCGCCTAATAAACTGTTTAGTCCACTCATCGTTTTTTGCAATGCATCAGTCATGGCTCCAAAACCTGTGAAAGTTTTGGGCAAAATATTGAAATAGTGTAACCAGTCATTTGCTTTTGTGACTTATGAAAATATTTTTGTCTGCTTATGGGGTCAGTATGAATGCAAACTTTGATTTGGAAGAAATGCAGATCCTGACACAGTCAAGGGAAAAAAAATCTTTATGTATCGCACTGATGGCTGCCGTTTCCTTTTTCAGGAGGTGTCAGAATTGTACGGCTCTGTCTTCGATCTGGCCGTGAGCGCCCTTTTTGTCACGCCTCGCACCTTCGGCGCCCGCGTCAGCCTCACCGACGAGCAGCTGGTGCTGTGGCCGGCTGACGCCGAAAAGGAGGCGGAGTCTTCCGTCCCCGGCGCCGGCTCTTTGCCGTTGGGCAGCCGCGCCCACATCACCCTGGGCTGCGCGGACGGCGTGGAGCCAGTCCAGACGGGTCTGGACCTCCTGGAGATCCTGGTGTTACCGGAGGTGGAACCTGTCACCGACTTGGAGCTGGGCTCGCTGCGCTTTTACGGAGAAGGGAGGTGGATGCTGGAGCTCAAAGAGCCCATGTGCGCCGCCGCGTGCTTCTCCAGCTTCTACAAGCGCAGGGGCCCATCCCATGAGAAGGGCAAAAGGGATCCCAAGAAGAAGAAAAACTGCGCCATCTTGTGAAGACATGATGGGGGGCCTTGCGTGGGATGGGATGGTTGATTAATTCTAAAATAGGAGTTTAAGGGCTTTTGAATGTAGCTAGCCGGAATCTTTGTGTGCCTTTTTTTTCCCATCCCCCACCCCTTTCACACGACCCAAAAAGCCTTCAGCAAGTTCACATAGCTCAGTATGGCATCAATCTAGTTCACTCAAGCTGCTCACACATCGGTGACAAACTTTTGGGGCCTTTCTTTAGACTAGCATCCTAGCTCATCTGTGTGAGAGTGGAAATCATGTACTCGGCGTGCATCCCAATCCCAGACTTACATTGTGGTACACCATTTCGAGTTGCTTTAAAGCTACTTTGTCGTCTTAGTCAAATGGACTAGCTAGTCATTGAAAAAGTGATTGTAATACTAGCAAGTAGGCCAAAGCTGTGCATTTAAATGTTAGGGTGACGTGTGCGCTAGAGATGCTTGCTTACGCGTTTGCACTATGCATTGTTTTGAAAGGGAGACCTAAGAATTTGGCATTTCTTCCCCTCCAGCTGCTTGCACTTAAAAAAAAAAAAAAAACCGCTGTGAATCCAAATCTTTGTCGCTCTTTTTAGCCAGTTTGAACAACAAATTTACATTTCAATGTAACCTTTTGGGGTTTGGAAGTCCAACTTTGTGCAGCTCTAATGAAACCCTATTTTTGCACTTGTTTTGTACACTTAATAAAGAAGATCGTGTGTTGCTCCAGCAATACTGCTTCCTGTCCGTTTTGTACCGACATCACTCCAGCGATTTTTTTTTTAACTGCGCGTGTGTGTGTTTCTGTTCATGACCAGCAGATGTCACTCAATACTTAAGTGCCGTTAGAAATAAACGACTTCAATACAACGTATGTGTATATAAAGTACGTTTTAGAAAAAAAAGGTGTTCCGCAGGAACTATTGATTAGTACGAATGCAATATACAAGTGTGTGCGCAATTGTTGCAAAACACCACCCAGGCCAAGGACGACGATATATTTACCGGTAGTTACTGCTGTTTCCAAGTTATTTTTGATCTAATACACCATTTACGTTTGGGGCTGGGGGACATATACAAATGTTAGTGAAATCAGCCCCACAACACAACGGCGTTGTGAGTGGAGGTTAATTTTATCTTCTTCCTGAAGAGTATTTAATTGTTCTGCCTGTCAGTACACATCGCTGACATAGACGGGTAGTACGTTTTGAGGAGCTTCAGTGAAACTGGATGATGTTATGGCGCACCGTTCCGCGTTGTCGTGGTTGGAGTCACTGATTCAGTACAATTTTCCATCCAGGGCAAAGGCAGGTTTTGACTGAGTCACCTTAACAGTGTAAAATCAACAAATATGGGCCAAGTGAGTATCGGCCCTTTTCAACCAACCTTTCCCTTGCGTACAGCGTGTAGATAAGACTGTTGACCAATCATTGTCAATTGTTCCTTATTGTGGAGAGTGGCGTGCTTGAGCCTTTGGAAGAAATTAGTGAAACATTCAATAATCCGTGATTATTCCAATATTCTTAAACACCAAGAGCCCTCAACAGCAATTATATAAACAAAACAACTTTCTATGGATGTGATCTTTATTTTAATTTACGACGTGTGTTCTATTTGTTTTAAATATAACACATTAGACATTTTCTGCTTAAAAATCCGTTCCACGAATGACAAGATTTTTTTTTACCCAACAGTAAGTGAATGCGTCAATAAAGCACGGTTAGGAGCGAGCCAATCAGAGGCCCAGGACTATCTGATGCTCCCTCGGCAGAGATGGGAGCCGGAAGCCAAAAGTGAACGCGAGCTCTTCTCCTTCTGCGGTACCACTTGCTTGGTTCCGAGTCAAGGCAAAAACCACTCCGCGGAGAAACTGACACACACCCCGTGTTGAAACCTCACTAGAACCCCCTCGTCGGACTATATTTTAACGCAAGGTTTGTATCTTTTTATTTCTTTACGCGAGGTCTTTTTTTTCCAAAGATGAAACTATCGTCGAAGCAAATCGAACTACTCTGACGTCAGTCTGTTCTCTGACTTTTAAAAATTTGAGTCATCCCATCAACTTTGCTTGACTTGTCTTTTGAAATTGGACGTTTATTTCAACCACTTTTAGAATGAATGAACGAATGAGTGGAATCAGATAGAATTCTTGTTAACTCGCAAATTTGTATCAAACCTCCATATGTTATCATTTACTGTTTTAGTCTACTCGTGTTTCTCCATATCTGTTTTAAATGGTCCACCTGGTCATCCATCGTGCCGTTTTGAAACAATTTTCATTATCACCCATTGATCATCACCAGCAGCTTTCTAATTAAAGTCAGTGATGTCTTGAACCAGGAATGGCTGCTGTTCCAGGACAAACTGTTTCCATCCATCCCGGCAGAGTGTTATTGGCGCAGCCAGCAGCGAATCCAGTCTAGTGATAATCAATAGTGTCACAGTACTTCTATCAATAATCCCAGTTAAGAAATAGTGAAATAAAGTAGACCAGATGCTCAGGCGCTTGTTGGCTTTGATTCAGAAGGAAATTAATAAGTGGTTGTAAAATCAGGTAATAAATAGCATGCCGTTATCTAACAAATGAGCGAGGCGCTTGTTGGCTTTGATTCAGAAGGAAATTAATCAGTGGTTGTAAAATCAGATAGGTAATAAATAACATGCCCTTATCTAACAAATGAGCACCTTTGAAGAGCGAGGCTCGGGAATTGTAGGTTTAGTTCTAAAATATACAGCCTCGATAACTCACCAATCAAACCCTTGTGCTTGTACGACATCACATGGATACTGGACAGGGGAACCTTACAATGGGAATGTCCTAAATGCTGCATGATTTGGACAATATTGCTCAAAATTCAGCCCTAACTATGTATTATTATATACTGTATTTCTAAGAAAACAAAGGTATACTCTGTCAGCAATGCATCGTCAACGGGGAGAAGTCTCACTGTTTTAAGAGTTAGAAAGAGTCAGAGTCTACCAGTATCTTAACAGGGTTTTTATTGCAGGGTTTTTATTGCTTCATTTGTATTGTATTACAATACTTTATTTCATTGTACTTTGAGAATGTTTAACGTGATTGAAAAAAAAACTATAATAAAATATACCTCATATTAGAAATTGTAACGTGTTCTTTATTTATTTTGATCTATATTTGCCAAGGGGAAAATTGAAAACAAACAACATGGAGGTTAACCAGTGTGCGCACCTAAACGCTTCCAAATACTTTCTACTCTGCTCGTGTCTTGTTTCTATTAGAGGACAATAACCTGAGTGGTAAATAATTGCCTCTTAGGTTATTAGCGCAGAGAAGCTGTGGCCGGTTACATTTAATCTACTTCCCTCACCAAACCTGCCTTGCCTTCATCCATCTTGTCAGGCCCCGTCCCATCGAGCCGCCATGTCCGCCAAAGCCATCTCAGAGCAGACGGGCAAGGAGTTCCTCTACAAGCACATCTGCACACCGGCAACGGTCCAGAACCGCTTCCGCTATGCTAACGTCACCCCCGAGACCGACCTGGACCGACTGGCGCTGGAGCACCCCTGGCTGCTCACAGAGGTTTGGATGATTGGTTGACTTCATAAGTCCAGCTCTCACTGTTACACATACATGGTGCCAGGCAGGAAATGATCCAAATTTTTAAAAAAAATTTGGGGGGGGAATGTCGGGTGTTGTGGTGTAGCATCATAGCATTCCTAGGAGGAGTTGCAGTGGCTTTAACGGAACGTCCAATTGAATTAGTCTTCGGGTATGATGGTGATGCAGAGGGCAGATATGGAAGAGGAGAGCGAGCGATGTGCTGCCCGAACATTGATTAGAAAATTGCATTAACTTTCACCGTCTGTCGTGTCTTCCCACCTTCCTCCTCCTCTTCCTCTTCATCACTGGCGAGGGCCCAGATCGTAATGGCTCCACTGTCATAAGTCATTCGCCGGTTAGCGGGAGGAAGAGCGCTTCTTCTCGTTTTCAGTGGGGGATGGCAGAATCCAGTTAGGATTGAACAACAATGATTTTGTGATTTTTATGGTGAAGTATCCTGTCGCTCTTTGAGAAATTGCTCTGTTTGAAATTAAGGGGTACCTTGAATAGGGCTGAAAGATTTGAAAAAAATAATTCTTTTTTTTTTCCACAATATTGTGTCTTAATGTGTGATTATTTTTTCGGTCATATTTCCATGTGTATTTCGAACAAACATCCATCCATCCATTCTCTGATGCGCTTCTCCTCACGAGGGTAGCGGGTGTGCTGGAGCCTTTCCTGGTTGTCTTTAGGCTGCAGCCAATCGCAGGGCACACGTAGACGAACAACCATTCGGGCTCTCAATCACACCTAGGGACAATTTGAAGTGCCCAATCAGCCTGCCGTGCATGTTTTTGGAATGTGGGAGGAAACCGGAGTACCCAGAGAAAACCCACGCAGGTATGGGGATGTTATGCAAACTCCACACAGGAAGGCCGGAGCCGGGATTGAACCCATGACCTCTGCACTGTGAGGCCGACATGCTAACCAGTCGTCCACCAACTTTGTTGTTTAAAAAAAAAGAAACGTGAATATTACCTTGAAAAATAAAATTTAAAAAAAAAAAAAAACGTGAATATTACCTTGAAAAATAATTTTGGCTATTACAAGCATATTTTGGAATGGGAGGGATAACAATGAGATTATTTCTCGAAATCATTCAGCCCCAATATAAATTTAAGTGGCAGCAACCATGTTGCAGTAAATGAACCAGCAAATTTGCTGCCTAAGTGGACTGCATTATAAGACAGTCAACTCACGTGTCTGGCTTTTTTTTTTTGGTCCAAATTGTATGTTGATTTGTCCAAACTACTGAGTTCTGTTTTGTTTTGTTTTGTTTTTTTTTCCTCTGCTTTCTTAATGTATGCCTTTTGAAACGTTGGCCTTCCAGGAAATGACACATTTCCAGATTGTGTAATCCCCACTTTTCTATTTGCGAAAAGACACCAGCCCATCTGGATATTTGCAGGGCGTTGTTCTTATTTGCACACTTAGTGTTAATCTTGTCTTATTACTCAGCCACATGTGGTATTCGCTGTTTTCAAGGGCAACACCCACCCTATGTACCCATATCGAAAAAAATTTAAAAAATCATCATTGATCCTCCGAACCGCTGCCGACTAGAGGTGAGGCATTTATTGTAAATGCACAGCGCCCTACTTTTTGATATTATGTACTTTTGTTTCCATGCAAAAAAAATCAATACTCATCTGCAGTGAGTATGTGTTGTATCAGTGGTACTAAATTATGCGATAATTGTATTCATCACTTGGAGGGTTTCATTTACAGTGATCCCTCGCTCTATCGCGGTCCTTTTAGCGAGGCTTCAGTGCATCATGTTTTTTTTTTTCCCCAAGTACTGTGTTTGGAAAAAAATGCCTAATGACTCAGAGGTTTTGTGCATGGCTGTAACTTGATTGGTTCCCAACACCGACATTTCCATTTAACATTAACTTTGTATTAAAAATATTAATTCTCTGGAGAAAGGTAGAAAAGCATGCATTTATTTGATTGTAAGGCTTCATTTTGAGCAACCTTTTAATGAATCGATGTCTCGACTTCAATTCTAAACGGGATTCGCCTTCCTGTGCAGAGGCTGGTGGTGAAGCCCGACCAGCTGATCAAGAGGCGGGGCAAGCTGGGCCTGGTCGGCATTAACCTGGACCTGAACGGCGTCAAAGAGTGGCTGAAGAGCCGCCTCATGAAAGAGACGA